TGTCGGCCCTGCCGCACATTTGTACAGGCCCTGCCGCACATTTGTACAGGCTCTGCTCTGCCGCGCATTTGTACAGGCTCTGCCGCACATTTGTACAGGCTCTGCTCTGCCACACATTTGTACATGCTCTGCCGCACATTTGTACAGGCTCTGCCGCACATTTGTACAGGCTCTGCCGCACATTTGTACAGGCCCTGCCGCACATTTGTACAGGCCCTGCCGCACATTTGTACAGGCCCTGCCGCACATTTGTACAGGCTCTGCCGCACATTTGTACAGGCTCTGCTCTGCCGCACATTTGTACAGGCTCTGCCTGCCGCACATTTGTACAGGCTCTGCCGCACATTTGTACAGGCCCTGCCGCACATTTGTACAGGCCCTGCCGCACATTTGTACAGGCTCCTGCCGCACATTTGTACAGGCTCTGCTCTGCCGCACATTTGTACAGTGCTCTGCCGCACATTTGTACAGGCTCTGCCGCACATTTGTACAGGCTCTGCCGCACATTTGTACAGGCTCTGCCGCACATTTGTACAGGCCCTGCCGCACATTTGTACAGGCTCTGCTCTGCCGCACATTTGTACATCTGCTCTGCCGCACATTTGTACAGGCTCTGCCGCACAAGTTTGTACATGCTCTGCCGCACATTTGTACAGGCTCTGCCGCACATTTGTACAGGCCCTGCCGCACATTTGTACAGGCCCTGCCGCACATTTGTACAGGCTCTGCTCTGCCGCACATTTGTACATGCTCTGCCGCACATTTGTACAGGCTCTGCCGCACAAGTTTGTACATGCTCTGCCGCACATTTGTACAGGCTCTGCCGCACATTTGTACAGGCCCTGCCGCACATTTGTACAGGCCCTGCCGCACATTTGTACAGGCTCTGCTCTGCCGCACATTTGTACAGGCTCTGCCGCACATTTGTACAGTGCTCTGCCGCACATTTGTACAGGCTCTGCCGCACATTTGTACAGGCCCTGCCGCACATTTGTACAGGCTCTGCCGCACATTTGTACAGGCCCTGCCGCACATTTGTACAGGCTCTGCCGCACATTTGTACAGGCTCTGCCGCACATTTGTACAGGCTCTGCCGCACATTTGTACAGGCTCTGCCGCACATTTGTACAGGCCCTGCCGCACATTTGTACAGGCTCTGCCGCACATTTGTACAGGCTCTGCCGCACATTTGTACAGGCTCTGCCGCACATTTGTACAGGCTCTGTCCTGATATCATGTAGGCTTCTGTTTCAACATCTTCGTAGAAACTTCAAGCGGCTATGTCTACAGGTTTTACTGGAAATGGCTTATACGTCGCTGGACTACGGAGCTCAGATCGGTTATTCCGATGAACCCACTTCAGCCTTTCCTGTATCGCAGCTCAGAGTCAATGCACACACACATAGACACATACACACATACACACACATACACCAGTGTCGGGACATCGGATCGATGTGTAACAAGCACACACACATATATTCTTTCTAACTCTCTCACATACAACCCCCTCTCTCGCTTAAACCGTCGGTGTATGCTGATATGCAACACGCACCACAGCCAAGCGCATACACCAGCCATGCAATAACGCAACAGCAATGTTTTCTGGACATGTCGCTGCATGCCATGTGAACATTAAACGTTTAAGCGTGTTTAAGAACATCCATCCGCAAACGCAGGACAAAAACAATTATTCAAACGGGCAACATGTCTAAATATACATGCATGCAACGCACCGTGATAGGTACCCCCACGAAGATGACGATGTTTCCGCCGTATTGCGGCAGCACCTGACCAGTCGTCGAAACAGTGATTGAGGAGATCACAGGCTGGCCGCTCAAGTCCGCCGCCATCTGCACATACGCAAGCGGCATGTGATAATCTCGTGAGTACAGGCAGGAAGGAGTGGAAGTAGTAAGGCAGTGCTAGCTTAATTCGTTGCCGTACTCATGTCTCTACGTTTCTACTGATACGATGAATGGTAAGCTGCCTGGGGCTGCGTTTTATTCAGACCAATGAAACAGGAATGGACGAGTGCGCGTATACATATTTATTACTAACATCTAAATGATTGCTGCATACGCAAAACGCATTACACAAGCGTGAAGCCCCAGACGGTCCCCTTCAGAAGGGACAGTGTCTGTAAGAAGGGATCAGCTCCCATGGCATCTCCCTGAGTACTCTTTGCCTGGTGTTACAGTGTCGCAGCTGTCGTACAGTACACCACACACCATCAGTACATGTACGCGCTAGAGCGCGTTCCCAACATCCAGAGAGGCTTTTTTCGCGGCTATGTTGTATCACGTCTTTTTGCAGAAAAGAACCGATCGGCGGATGACAGATCCCGTGATACCCAGGATACTACAGGCTACCTACTACACCGCCGGGATAGCGCTAGCACATGCACAGGCAAACCAGCAGCACATACATACATACGCACGTGCACAAAGCTATACATACATACATGTACACAGATGTGCGTACACAACGCACCAGAAGGAAGGTGATATCACTGTAGTGTCCCGTGGACGGCTCAGTTATCCGAAGTCCAACAGCAGTCATGTCGCCATAATTGTAGTCAAAGTTGCGCCATCCAAGACTGCCGTGTCCACCGTAAATAGAGCATGCAAACATCACCATAACGCAGGCGTGACCAAGAAGTAGGTATCAGTTTTTAGAAAGGGTGCAGAGAAGTGCTGTGCTAAGGATGAAAGCGTAGTACACGAATTGGATTCGAGTTTTGGGAAGCGATAGATGCAAGCAAGCAGTAATGCGAGCGAGTGGCTGGTCTCCCAATTAGCTACCTGCCTTGCTACCTATGCTATGCTAACCCGTACAAACGATGCAGTAGCGCGCTGTGTGTGTGAACGATTTGGATATTCGTTCCTTCCGCTGTGACACAATGTTGCTGGCCAGTACGGCCGGTACATACAAACATACAACGCTTTTTCATGTCTTGCAGGCTACCGTACTGATACGAAAGGTTCGCGCCACACCTTTCGTTTTGGGCCACGAAGTATGTCACAGTGGAAAAAGCTCTATGGAGAAAATTATTTACTTGTCGCGAAAATGTGTGGCTACGAATGTGTTGTACGCCGTGTACATGGTGTAGAACAGCCAGAACTGAGTTCTTACACGCCAGAACTGAATTTTTCATATAGTTATAGCTTCCTTTTATTGTAACTGTTGTTTGCTGGACATTCTGCGTAAACATATAGTAAACGATATGTCCAGCAGTTTGGGAGCTTTGATGCTGTCGTTCCTTGTTGTGGCTTCCCTGGAGCCCCGCGAAATGTGTGTTCATGTAAACAAATGTGTGCCATAAAAACTGACAGCCCTCGCGAATTGGTGTAACAAAACGAAAAATTCCAGCTATATTTTTGGGGTACCCGCGAAAGGTGTGGCGCGAACCTTTCGTATCAGTACGGTACCT